GGGATTGAACTCAGGCCCTTGCACTTGCCAGGGAAGCGCTTATTCCAGCGGGCTCACGTTTTATCTGCTGGACAAAGCCCAGGCTTCCTAGGCTGCTGCGATCTTATGTACTGAGAGTCAACTGCGCCCTAAGCACTCTCTAGGTCCTGGGGGAGCTGGGAAAACCAGCTCATCCTGTCCCTGCCCTCCCCAGGAACGAGCTCCACAACTATATAATTGCGAATAATCAATTAAGTAATTACTATTGTGAATCAAGCAATCACAGAGCCCTCTACAATCTGCTTGCTTCCCACCTTTTCAGGGTGCTTTTGTATCCTTTTATGCCAGCCAAGAAGCTTACTGTTCCACACATGGTACCACAAACCCAACAACAACAAGGTGAATGTAGACACACAAAAAAAGAGGAAACACCAGAAAGAACAATATAGGAGGTCAGGGAGATAGCTGAGTGGAATAAGTGCTTGCCTAGCAAGCACAAGGTCCTGAGACTGCCTCAAGGAGCTGGGCCTGTCCCCCCCAATCTCAGGCCCTGTCCTGCCTGCCCCGTGTCCCTCTGACCCTTCTTCTTCCCTGAAGCCCTGCCTGCCAACTTCAGACAGGAGGATCTTCCCTTATTTGGATTCCTGGCACTTACGCACTCAAGAAGTATTTGCTGAATGACCTGCCCAAATGCCTGACGGTGACTCTCCAGGAGATCCCAGGCCCGTGCTCTGGCTGTAACCATTTAAATTGTGCAGGCAGTTGAAGTTGTCTTGTTTGTGGGCATCAGGTGTTGTTTTTCTTTCCCTTTCCCAGGGAGGAAGGAATCCACAAAACTATAGAGCAGAACATAAAACATAGATAAGCACAATAAAAGTCATCCAATTACTCATAATCCTTCTACTCAAAGAGACCCACTGCAGATATTGTTCTTTCTTTTTTTTTTGTGGTACCGGGGATCAAACTCAGGACCTTGTGCTTGCTAGGCAAGCACTTACTCCACTGAGCTATCTCGCTGGTCCCCTATATTGTTCTTTCTGGTGTCTTCTCTTTGTGTGCCCACATTCACTTTATCGCAACAAATTGGTAACTTGCGTAGGTTTTTGGTACCAGGGATAAGCTCAGGACCCTGTGCTTGCCAGGCAGGTGCTTATGCCACTAAGCTATCTCCCTGGTCCTACATCCACTTTGTAAAACTCTCTTTCCCCCAAATCAAAATTTTATCAAGAAAATCCTTTTTCTTTTTTTCTTTGGTCTTTTTGAGATAGTCTCCCCATGCAGTTCAGGCTGGTCTTGAACTCACTTTGTAGCCCAGGCTGGCCTCCAACTCACAGCAATCCTCCTGCCTCAGTCTCCTGAGTCCTGGGTTTACAGATGTGCCCCACCACACCTGGCTTGAAAACCTTCCTTCTGATGGTCTTTTTAAACACGAAGTACCTGCTCTCTAGCATTCTTCTGCTTGAGGGGGGAATGGTTTTATCTTAACAAAAAGCTAGAGAATTTAGTCCAACTCATGCACATATTTTTCTACATATAGTAAGAATACTACCTTAGGACATTAACTTCAGGAATCCTTTCTCAAGACCGACTTTGGACATGCTTTAGTGCGCGTGTGCGTGGGTTACGGGGATTGGGCCCAGTGCTCTGCACTGACCTATGTCCATAACCCTTTTTACTTATTTTGAGACAGGGTCTTAATAGATTGGTAACTTGCGTGAGCTGGGCTCAAATTTATTATTTTTATGCCTTTACTTCCCTAAGGGCTGGGATCGCAAGTGTGTGCCACCATACCAGCTCCTGGCCCTTTTTTCTTTCTTCTTTCTTTCTTTCTTTCTTTCTTTTTCTTTTCCTTTTTTTTTTTTTTTTTTGGTACCAGGAACCAAACTCAGGACCTTGCGCTTGCCAGGCAAACACTTATTCCACTGAGCTATCTCCCTACCCCCCCTTCATTTTTTTTTTTTTGTTGCGATGGTCTCCAAGTCACCAGATGGCTCACATCGCCCTTGTGCTCCTCCTGCCCCAGCATTCTGAGCAGCTGGAACTACAAGTGCGCTGCTGGTCCTGGCCAGCTGCTCTTTTGATAAATGCCACTTCACTTCTTTATGACCTCAAATATGCAGGCAGACCTAGGGTTCAGGGGAGCCGTGCTCACCCGCAAACCACAGCGATCCCGCAGTCCTGCCCCTGCTTTCAGGACGAACATCACTCACTGCACCTCACACAGGAGCCTGGTTGTTTTCCCCCAAATCGCTCATTTGTCTATTACTAAACCCCACCCTATAATTAAACAAGAAAACAGAGAAGCACAAACTTGCTATATCAATCGTCTCTCTTCTCCCTTCTGAAGAGGAAAAGGAAGCCATCTGCAGTTTGGTAGCTCTCAGGCCAGATCCGTAAGCGCTGGCTCTTTCGACTTTGCTAGGATAGAATGAAAGCGCCAGGGGCACCGCATGTCCTTTTTTTTTTTTTTTCTGTATTTTTTAGGGAAGGGTCTACAGGGTGTTCAGGGTCTCACTACGATCGGACTGGTAGTGATCCGTCTGCTTACAACCTCCCAAGAGCTGGGATTACAGGTGTGCACCACCATTCCCAGTCTCAATTGCTGATTTAGGGCGCCCCAGGGGCGGGACTGACACAGCAGGCCTGTGGATTGGAATCCCGGGCCACTGTGCCTGTTTCCAGGCGCTTTAATCCGCTGAGCTATTTGGCCGGCCCTGTCCCTTCCTAATTTTTTTTTTTTTTTTTCGGAATCAGGGATTGAACTCAGGCCCTTATTCTACTGAGCCATCTCTCCAGCCCCAATGTTTGAAAAATAAACGGAGTACAACAAAGGGGTGCAGGGAAAGGTCGGCCCTTGCTGAAGAGTGCAGCGCCAGCTGTGTCCTGCGTTTGCGTCTTGGTCTGAGCTCTGTGGACGTCACCAGCAGGAGCCTAGGTGCTGCTGCTGGTGCGACACCCTCGAGTGGTGGTGAAGTTGAGTCTCTTTAGGAGAAGCAGGCCCACTCTCGTCAGCTCTGCCTGCCTCAGTGCAAAGCCCCAGTGAGGCGGTCTCCGGCCTTTTCTGGATTCCAAAAAAATGACGGTACTGGGATTTTTTTCTTGCTGTAATCGGGAACTGGCGAACCGCGCAGGCTTCATTAAGAGCTCCAGGACCGAGCACTGCGGTGGGCTTGAGCTCAAAGGCGTACAGTGGAGCGGGGCAGAGGCGGATCCTCCAGGTGGGACCGGCGCAGCCAGCTCCATGAGGCGGAGAAGCAGCTGCAAGGGGAGCTAGAAAGAAAGAGCGCTCTCTGGGGTGCAAGGGGGCTCGCTCCTCCGCTGTCCACGCCCCGTAATTAGAGGAACACGGCCGCTGCCCCACGGAGCCGGCGAACAAAAGGAGCGGCCTCCACTCCGGCCTGTGAGGTCTGAATGAACGCGAGGCGACACCTTCCCCGAGCCACCTTCTCTCCAGCGCACCCAAAGAGGCGGGAGCAGCCGCGGCCCGGGGGCGCCGCGCTCCCAGGAAACGGACAGGTGCGGCAGGCCAATAGCTGGAGCCGCGGCGCACCAATGGGAGCGAGCGCTGGGTCGACCTGGGCTTTAAGCCCGCGAGCCCGCCACGGGGGCGTGGCGCCCGGGCGCAGGGGGTGGGAGGAACTAGAGGCCGGTCACCGCGGCCAATGGGAACACGGCTTGGCGCAGGAGCGGGCCCGGCTCGCGAGGCCCCGCCTCTCGGGTCCGCAGGCTGGGGCGGAGCCAGGTCGCGTCAGGTGGCCGCGGGCACGCGGGGGCGGGGCGC